TCCCACGGCCCGCACGAGGCCCCAGCTGCCTGGATCAGAACCGTGGGCTTCGGGCTTCTCAACTGCTCCCCGGCTGACCCCAAAGTGCGAGCGAGGTCGGGAACCGCAGCTGTCGTGGGAGGGAACAAACATCCAATCGAGGAATTAGAACAGGCTCTCTGGCTGCAATTCCAAAATGCGTTTTTTTGGTTTTTTTTTAAATAATGCTGCAACATGTCTGACATCGGGATGTTGGAACCAGTGTCCCACCTCCAGATTCCTAGAACCTCAATCTGTGACCTTATTTGGAATCTTTGCAGATGTGATTAGTGAAGGGTCCAGAGGTCAGACCGTCCTGGATTAGGGTGAGCCCAAAACCCAGTGGCAGGTGTCTTTAAAAGAGATGGCAGAGGGGACGCAGACGCGGAGGAGAAGCCACGTGGAGGCAGACGGAGGAGGCAGAGGCGGGAGTGAGGCTGCGGCCACAAGCCCAGGGACGCCTGGAGCCCCCGGGAGCCGGGAAAGGCGGGAAGGAGCCTCCCCTGGAGCCCTTGGAGGGAGCGCGGCCCCGAGACCCCTGCATCTCACACTCTCGGGCCCCGGGACCGGAAGGGGACTCGGTCCTGTTGTTTAAACCCCCTAAGTTTGTGGAGTTTGTTATAGCAACCACAGCACATAGATGCAGGTTTCTTACCATGCAGGAGAGTGATGGGTGGACGGCGTGTTTTCCCTTCTCTGAGTCGCACACGCGTGTGAGGCTGCATCCTGCTGGGCACGGGATCTGAGGTCGATGGAATCCCGGGCTGCTGCCGGGGAGAGAGCTCAGTGAGAGACGCCGAGGCGGGAGAAGGGGGACACCCGGCCCCACCCGTGTTTCTCTGAGCCCTGGGAGAGCCCAGAGTGAGACCCAGAGCACTGATGTCCTCGGCTCGGCCTAGCGCCAGACACCCAGGGCAGGGTCCTTTACCCACTCCAGTCCCGGAGCCAACAAGACTCTGGAACCTTCCTGAAGACCCAGGCATCCAGGGAACTAGACCCAGTGAGCCCAGGCCCCCAGGAAAGGGGAGACGGGAGAAAAAGGCCAGAACTCTGCAGACTGAAGTTCTCACCGTGCTAAAATGCAGACGACATGCAGCTGACCCTGTGGCCACTCTAAACCTCGTAACTCAGGGTCAGTGAGCTCAGTCGCCATGTTGTGCAACCCCCACCTCCGTCTAGTCCCAGAACATTCTCACCACCCCCAGAAGGAGACCCCGTCCCCATCAGCAGTCCCTGCCCACCCCCACCCCCCAGGCCCTGGTGTCCACCAAGCCAGGTCCTGTCTCTGCGGAGCTACCTGTTCCGGACGCTTCCTATAAGCAGAATCACGCACTATGTGCCCTTCCATGTCTGTCGGCTTCTCTCTCTGAGAACGATGTCCCCAGTGTCCCTCCACGCCATAGCAGGCGTCAGAGCCTCGTCCCTGTTCATGGCTGCGTAATATTCCACTGTGTGGGCGGACCACGCCGTGTTTACTCACGTATCTGCTGGTGGGCACTCGGGCTGTTTCCGCCTGCTGGCTGCTGTGAGCATGGCTGTGAGCACGCGTGTCCGTGCTTTCATCGCGTGTATGCCAGAACAGAATCGCCAAGTCACACAGTGGCGACTCTTGAGTTTACCTTTTTGCGGAACCTGCAGACTGTTGTCCATAGCGGCTGCACCATTTTACATTCCCGCGGGTGGGCTGTGCGCCGGCTCTCCGATTTCTCCACCTCCTCACCAACACTGCTTTTACTATTATTATTACGGCCTTGCTAGTAATTATGGCTGTGTGCTATACACTTAATTTTAACACTTGATGACACTACATCAAGTTTCAAGGTTATCTCTTACTGTGTAAAAGTTATCCATTTCAGACCGGGCTCACGCCTGTCATCCCAGCACTCTGGGAGGCCGAGGTGGGCGGATCGCTCAGGTCAAGGAGTTCGAAACCAGCCTGAGCAAGAGCCAGACCCCCATCTCTACTATAGATAGAAAAAAATTAATTGGCCAACTAATATATATATACAAAAAATTAGCCGGGCCTGGTGGTGCATGCCTGTAGTCCCAGCTACTCGGGAGGCTGAGGCAGGAGGATCGCTTGAGCCCAGGAGTTTGAGGTTGTTGTGATCTAGGCTGACACCACGGCACTCTAGCCCAGGGAACAGAGTGAGAGTCTGTCTCAAAAAAACAGAAAAGATTTAAAAAAACAAACAACAAAGAAAAAACCCAGGTGAACAAATTAATGGTAATTAATGTCATACTGGGACTTTTTTTTTTCACTTGTAAGCCTATTCCCTACCCACCTCCCCGCCAGGTACTGCGTTTTTTGTGTTTGGAAGTTCACCTCAGCAGCCCATCCCGCGTCTCTGAAATAAACATATGTAAATCGAAATTGTATGTGAATTTGGTTTTTTTTTTTAATTAATGCCAATGTAGGTTTTTAAGTGTTTCCCAAAGAGATCTCTCTGTGAGGGCACTCCGGAGCACGTACGTTAATCAGAGCACACCGTGAACGTGCACTTGGACCACCGGTTGAGTCTCTGTTGGAAATTCCTCTCCTGACAGGTGCAGGGGTGCGGGCGGCGGCAGGGGCTTCCTCCAGCCCGGGCCAGCGTGAGCACCGCCTGCTCTTCTTCAAACGAAACCGAGCGCCCAGAAAAGGCGGTGGGCATGGGAGTGTGGCCACGTTTCACTTTGGTCTCGGCCCACGGCCCTGCCTGGCGGTCTTTCTCCCACGCGAGGCGGAAAGCAGAGGGCAGCACGGCTGTGCCCACCTAGGGGCCTCTTCCCTTCTCACCCAGACCTCAGCACAGGGAGGCCACGGGCGAGCAGGTGGAAGGCGCCCCGGTCCTGTCCGTACCCCAAGTCCCACTCCCCGGGCAGGGCGAGTTCTTCAGCAGACAGCGAGAGAGAGACCCCCAGGAAGCTCTGCCAGCTCAGGAGCAAACAGCCCAGCAGCCCCGAGTCCGATTCACCGCGTGCGAGCTGAAGAATCTCGCCTTTCTCACTTCTGCGCCTGGAACGTGTCCGCTGTTCTTTCTAGACGTTCTGCCCGTGGGACGTACAATGAACATGGGGGCTTCAGTGGGACGGTTTCCATACCCCGTACGGGATAGGGAGAGGGGTGGGGAGACAGCAGGGACGGGGCTGACCCCCGGTCCACCCCAGCCGTCTGTTGATGGGGATGTGCACGGGACTCATGCCTTCCATTTCTTCCTCCCAGCTTCACGGGGGAAGACAAAATCTACTCGCTAACAGACTGATTCCAGTTAATTTCCATCTGAGCTACTCACGGTTACTTAGTGCTAACAAATTCATGTGCCATGGAGAAGAAGGACAACTTCTGAAAACTAAGTGACATCATTGGTGGCACAGATAATGTCGCCCTCACTGGTAAACGTCCCAAGTGTCCAGGCCTGGGGGAGGAGGGGGACAAGGGGCTGGGGTCTCAGAGCAGCAGCCCGGGCCCCCCCCCCCGCTTGGTACCCAGAAGGTGGGCTGCCGGGGAACGGCTCAGCATCAGGGGCTGAAGCTCCCGAACCCACAGGCTCTGTCCTTCTGCTCCTGGGCCCCTAGAGGTGACTGCAATGTCCCCCCTCCCCAGCGGCAGCCCTCGATGCCTGTCCCTCAGAGCCCGGCCTGGAGGGCACACTGGGGCCACGGGCCACCCCCCACACCCCTCCCACAGAGGTGTGCACGCCTCTCTGTATGAGATTCCCACTTTCCACGGAGACTCAGAAGCAAAATCACCTGTAGCAAAGATGACAAACCAACGTCATCTTTGTCAAAGATGACAAACCCAGGCCCCACAGAGACTCCACCCTGACGGCTGGAGCTGTCCACACCCCCTCTGAGCACCTGGAGCTGTTGCACCCCCTCTCAGCACCAGGTAGCTCAGCTCGGGCAGGCGGGCCCACGCGGCAGGGTCACTCCCCGACTTTGGTTTTGTAGCTAGCAGTTCTTACGCACAGTCAAGTGCACACGCACAGACCTGCAGGGCGTGAGTGCAAAACCCAGGCGCCCAGATCTCTTCTGCAGGGAGGGACCCCTGATTCTGTAGGTGGGGGGGGGGGCGGCAGGGTGATCATCTCCAGCCACACACCCCCACAGGGCCACACGCACCCCAGTTTGCCAGCTTCTCCCCTCCCGTCACCCCCAGCCCAATCCAGGGGCATGAGGCAGGGGGACAAGCCCTGCCCATCAGGGCCAGCATGAAGCCCTCCTGTCTGCCACCAGGCTGGGTAGGGAGCCGGGCACACCTGGCCCTGCCTGTGCTGACCTGCTTCGCCCCCACCTATGCCTCTCCCTGCTGAAGCCGCTGCCACACCCCCTCGTGGCCCTGGGACACCATCCGTCTGCCCCTGCACTGGGCACACTCCGCTCCAGGGGGACCTCCCTGGCCTTGCTCCCGCCTGCCGGACTCCTCCCTCCCTCCTGCACCTGCTCAGTCAGCCTCCGTCCCCACTGCCACAAGGAGCTGCGTCCCACCCGGCACATTTCCGAGGTGCCCGGGCAGCACAGTCCTGGGAACGATCTCATTGCAGCTGAGCCAGAAAACAACCCACGCTGGGCTGCAGGCACCCGTGTTTCAAATGCCTGGCGTCTGAGCACACCCAGGATTGCAGCTGGTGAGGAGGCAAAAAGCTGTCTGAGGCAGAGACCTGGCGTGTGCCGTGCCCAGCTCAGTGTCCGACAGTGACGTGCGCATGTGGCTTCGGACCCGGCCAGCCCTCTGATTCATGCACTTTAACTAAACACAGACAAAGGGAAGGAAAGACTGCTTTTCTGAATGCACTAACATTGTTGTCAGCAAACAAATCCAAGCCCTCCGAGGACTGGGACCCTCCTCTGGGGCATTTGCCATAGGACGGCAAAGGTCTGAGACGCCCCATTGTGCCAAGGGTCCCATCAGTGCGGCATGGACTCAGCTGGGCCTCACTGGACCACCCAGCCCAAAGACCATAGAGGCAGACACACAAAAAAACGTCAAGCGTGAGAAATGCAGTTCATTGGAAAAGGATTTTATTTCGCCATAAAAATGCAAACTGGAATAAACACCATCTCTCCTAACGCGAACGTTACAGCTATGTTTGAGTATTTCTGAGCTTCACTTGGAGAAGCAAATGATTATAAAATTTTAACAAGTTTTGCAGCCTTAAATCTGTTTGAAACATTCCAAGTAAAAATAATTTAGCAAAAACGGCTTCTTACAAAAACCACACACGCTAAACCTTTACTAGAAACCAAAGCTTTAAACCAACCTTGTTTATGCTTAATTACTTGGAGTCGTAAAAAGTGAATGTTTCTGAAAGAGCATCAGACCTCTCCCAAGCGCTTGCCCACACACCGACATCTCACCAAGAACGGCATGCCTGAGTTTTCCTTTCCGTCTCTGAGGACTCGTACCGTCCTCGCCTGACCCGATGTACCACCGCACCTTCCTTTTTGGAAACCCACTCAGGCCATGTCCCCACTGGTTGAGATTACAAGGACAGGAAGGTGTTTTTCTTTCCAGCGCCCTGCGTGACTGTCGCGGGCCAGGCTTTGGACAATGCGCCCCTGGCCGTGCGGGCGCCGGCGGAACCGCCCTCGGCATGCGCAGAAGGCTACGGAGGCGGTGCGCCGCCGTCCTCACCGCCCGGGGTCTGAGCGAGTTTCCGGCTGGCGAGGAGCTCGCCGTGTTAAAGCTATCGGATCACAGTCTGGAAGGGACACGAAAGCTGGGCCGACGACTACACGCCGGAACTGCAGCGCCAGGTTGGCGGTCGGGAACCGAGGCAGGCGGGCCTGGGCGTGCGGCGCCTTCCCCGGGCGGGCGGGCGGGCTTCTGCGACCTTCGCAGCTGCGGCAGAGACGCGGCCTTGCGGGCGGACGGAGGGGTGCGGAGGCCAGGACGCTGGCGCCGACCGGGCCTTCCGGGGCGGGCCGTGGGGGCCAGCCCTTCATTACCTGTTCCAGGTGCTGCGGTGCCTGCTCGGGGACCGGGAGCGGGAGCGCTCGGCCCTGCGGCGGTGGCGGCTGTGCTTCCTGCCCGCGCTGCCCCTGCGGCCGCGGCTGCGGTGCCGCCTGTCCTTGCTGTGTGACCTGCGGGAGCGCGCGTGGTCCGGGCTGGCGCTGCGCCGGTGCGGGCTGTCGTCCCTGTCGTGCTTCTTGTGGGGCCGCCGTTCCTTTCGGGGGCGCGCGTCGTCCCTGCTGCCCGCCCGCCGGGCCCTGCTGCGCTCCAGCTGCGGCTCGTCCCCGTCTCCGCCTGCCCGGTCCCGACCGGCGCTGGGCTCGCGGTTGCACTTGTCCTGTTCCGACCGCGCGTCCTTCTTGGGCGGGCCCTGGTCGCAGGCGGGGACGCCCTTGGGCTGCTGGTTGTTGTCCGGGATGCAGGCGAGGACGCCAGGACACCTCTTCTCGGGAGAGCCATCCCCCGGGGCGCCGCAGCGCATGCCCGGACCCTCCTTGCCCTGGACGTCCTTGGCCACGCCCCCGTTCACGCTCTGGGGCGGGCAGTCAGCCTCAGGGCGGGCCGGGGTCTCCTTGGGGTTGCCCGCGGGGGGCTGGCCTACGAGGGGGTGCAGCGCGGCGGCGCCGGCGCAGCCCGAGGACACGGTCTGCAGGATGTCCAGCACGGGCTGCAGCAGGTGTGCGTGCGCAGCGCCCAGCTCGCCGTGCGCGGCGCCGCCGTCCGGCCGCTTGCTCAGCAGCAGGCTCAGCAGGCGCTCGCGCAGCTCCTGCTCCTTGCGCTGCAGGCCGAGCGCGCGCTCCTTCTCCTCCTCCACGCGCCGCAGCTCCGCCTCCTGCAGCCGCCTCCGCTCCTCCTTCCGCTCCTGCTCGCGCAGCTTCACCGCCTGCGGCAGAGAGGACACGCCCCTGAGTCCTGGCCCTGGCGGTGGCGCAGCGCGCGGGAGGAGCTGGGCAGGTGTCTGGACGGCCTGTGGCCGGCCCGGGGCCGCTGCAGAGACCGCCTGGCCGGCTGCAGCCCAGGGGCGGACATCTCCTATGGCCTGGGCCTCGCGGGTGAGGTCCGACCCGTCCATCCCTGGGCTCCGCCGGCCATGCCCGGAGCAACCATGCGCCCGAGCGAGAAGGAAACCCCTTGGCAAAGGCTCAGCCCCGGGGTGGCCGCCTCAGACAGGGCCTGGCCCCGCCACGTCGGCACACGGGGCCTGCTGTTAGGTCACAAGCGGCGCCAGCAACAGGGCCCAGATGGCGGCGCAGACACACGGCGCCGCCGCCGCCGCCGCGGGCGAGCTCGGCCTAGCCTGGGTTAGTGTCTTCAATATTCACCATGAAATGAGAACTGAGCGGCCACATGTCTCAGCCTCTTGCCTTGCTCCTTCCCGGAGACTTATCACAACTGTAATTAGACAACAGGTTATGGGGTGGCCCGCCCGGGCCCCAGGGGGGACGCGGCCCTCCCGAGCACAAGGAGCGTGCTGGGGGTTCCTGCGCCAGCGTCGGCCCTGGGCTCCCGGGCGTTTCCAGTGGCGCCCGCGGGGGCTCAGGGAGGCTCTAGGCGCTGCCCGGACCGTGGGCGCCAAGGAGACCCTCCAGGCTCACAGCTGTGAGGGACCCGGGCGGTAGCCCGTCCGCACAAAGCGAGCCGGCCCTCTTCTCGTCCCGGAGGGGCTGCTGCTGAGGTCAGAGCCAGGCCAGCTGCCGGGATGCGGCGTGGGCAGCGTATCTCCGCCGGAGGGGCCCCACGGGGGCAAGTGCGCTCTGCACTCTCTGCCACTGCCCCTCCCCCGGGGAACCGCAGAGGCCTCTGCCCCAGCCGCCCCGCATTTGGCGGGCCTGAGTGCCCGCGACGCTGACTCAGTTTCACCAGCTGTGTGCAAGGAAAGCACAGCGCTGAAACCTGGAAGGACAGGGACGCGTCCTCCACTCTAAAGTTTATTTCTGTGTTACGGCTGCAACCACCTGGGGTCCGGGACCGTGATGCTGCGTGTCCCAGAGGAGCACGGCTGGGCCGGGGAGAACAGGTGCCCGGCGGCAGAGACCCCCAGACCCCCCGTGGGTACCTCGGCGCACCCGGCTGCAGACGCCTCCGACCCCTGCGGGTACCTTGGCGCTCGGGCTGCTCCCAGACCACACTCGGGTACCTTAGCATGCCTGGCGGCAGGGGTCCCCCCACCCCCGGCTGCAGGGCCCCGCGGGTACCTTGGCCCTGGCGAGCAGCTCGGCGACGAGGCGGATGGACTGCAGGTTCCGCTGCGCCAGCAGCAGCTTGCGCTCCTCCAGCCGAATCTTCTCCTGCAGCTGCCGCTGCTCCTCCGCCTGCAGCTTCTCCTGCCGCTTCTGGCTGCGGCGCAGCTCGCGGGCACGCTGCTTCTGCTCGCGCCTGCGCAGCTTCTCCTCGCGCTTGCGCTCGCGCTCCAGCTCCTCCAGCTCCTTCTGTTTCCTGCGCGGACACGCGGCTCGTGAACGCGCGCCCCCGGCGCACACGCACAGGGAACGGACGCGCCGAGCCAGCGAGGAAAGCACAATGCCGGAACGACTCCGTACCCAAACATGTAAATGCCAGGTGGATCAAAGGAACCCCGGGAGCGGGCAGGGCAAGGGCGGCCCAACCCTGCAGGGGACTCTCCCGGAGTGTGACCACGACCCCGAATCCACAGAGAAAAGGACCAGCAGCTCGGACCACACCGGAAGTCCGATGCTGAGCAAGACGCGCCCCGCAGGCAGAAACGCAAACGGTCGATGAAGAAGCACCTGCGACAACACAAGACGCTCCACCGTCCCTGCGCCGCGCGCCACAGCGGGCAGGCAACGCCCGACAAGGGACGCGGCACACCCCGGCAGGTCACACAGGGCTGCCCCACCTCGGCAGGACACACGGGGCTGCGGCTCGGCCCAGACGCCGGCTCCGCCCGCGGGTCGTCCACAGGCAGCACTCCGCACAGGGCGGCCGGTTTCGGCTCAAAAAGGAGGATTCACTGCTAAAGTACAAGTGGCGGTCACAGAAGACCACGGGAGGGCGGAAGGAATGAAACGCAGATGTGCCCAGCCAGGCGGAAGATTCCAGAAGGCTTACGCTAAAGTGGAAGATCAAACACAAAAGACAATATACTGTGTGTGCCCGCTGTTCTGTGAAATTCTAGAAAAGGCAAACCCACGATGATGAAACCAACGGCCCGCCCGGCTGCCCAGCCCCCGGCGAGGGGCGTCCAGCGGTGCGGACACCAGGGCGCTGGACACGCGGGTTTAGACAGTGACGTAATGCCCGCAGCCGTGTGCAGAACCCCGCACGCTTCAGCGCCACCTCCGGGACCAGGGCGGCACGGCACGCACACAGCCCTCCGGGAGGACCCAGCGCACCCCCGACATCCACACCGCACAGGCAGCCCCCGAGGCCCTGCTCCCGGCCCCGCGGGGCACTGACGCACCGCCAGGGCAAGATGGGTCCCCAGCGAAGGCACAGACGCGCCAGGGAAGCCGCTCTGGCATCAAAGGGCACCGTCATCCCATGGAGAGAGACCCTGTGAGGTCGCCATGCTCCTGCCACTTGGGGACTTCTCTTTAAAACCACCCCACGCCACGCCCACACAGCTCGGATCCTGACCGCGCTTTTGTGGGGAGGGGAGGCCTGGCATGAGGCCCCAGGGCCCTGGGAAGAGGGACGCAGGGCCCTGGAGAGCTCTGGGGTGGGGGAGCAGCTTGCCTGGCTCACCCTCGCCTCCCTCTGGCTTTAAAACTCACGCAAGCCACCGACCACGCAGTAAAAACGTCAGCGCCACTCCCGGTGGGCCAGGACGCGGAAGCTGAGACCGTGCAGCCCAGGCAGGCACCGTCAGGGCCGGAAGGACAGCCACTGTGCGCACGTGCCTGCACACACACGCGCCCCTCCGCCCCAGGACCACGGGCGCCCAGGCTGGGGCAGCCCTGAAAAGCAGCACCAGTGAGGGGGCGAAGGTTCCCCTCGGAGCCCCAGGAGCCGCAGTTTTAGCGCACTAGGAGGCCACGCCCCTCGAGCTCAAGGTGTGGCTGTCCCGGCAGCCGCCCTCTAGGGGGACTCGCGCTGAAGCCCCCAGCCTGGCCACCTGTGCAATACAGAGGCTGCCCACGACACTCCGTCACCTGTCGCACCTGAGCAGCCTGGACGCACACCACCTCCACGGAGACCAAAATGGCAAGATGCACGAATGTATGGGCACCAGCATCCCACACGGCAGTGAGAACCTTCCACCACCGAGGCCGCCCCCCGCCTGGCCTCAGACGCGGCCCCACCCAGGGAAGTGGGGCCCAGCCCAGCGGATGGCAGCTCCCGGAGCTGCCTGGAGCCCTCCCGACCAGCTCCGCCTGGGGCAGGCCTGTCCCCACCCCTGCCGCCCCAGACACCACGGCAGAGAGCTGGCCTCCTGTGCAGGGACCCGTGCTGACTCCCTTCCCTGAGCACCCGGCCGGTCTGCAAGGCAGGGCGGCGCCCCCAGGCAGGAGCGGGAGCAGAGGCACCTCTCTGTGCTGACCACCACCTGCCACCGCTCTCCTGGCTCTGCCTGGCGCGGCGGACACCAAGGACTCCAATTCCACACAAAATGCAAACTGCCCTGCAAAGCCGCCCGCCGAGTGGAGGCGGTTATGCAGTTAGCACACCCACCACCCCAGGCGTCTTCCTCTCTGAACGGCCGGCTGGCCCATCGGAGGCTCTCTGGCCCCAGTCCACAGCCACACGTCACAGGGAGGGCACACCCGTCTCGTCCTGGGGAACGGCAAGAACGCCACACGCAGTCTGGGCCTGGGACCCAGGAACTCGGTCCCGAGACTCGCGCGCAAGACAAAAACGGCAACACGCACAGACGTCCCGGCACCAGCAATCCCCACGGCAGGGAAAATCGGGGAGAAAACCGGCACCCGACCAGGTCAGGGCAGCCAAGAGCTCCGCCAGAAGGCTGTCAAACACGTCCAACCTGCCTCACGCTCAACGTTCCGCACACGGAAGCGCAAGGACAACGTGGGAGACAGACAGGCACAGGAAGGTGCTAGAAAGAAACGCCGCGGTGCTGGCACAGGGAGAATCTCTGCGCACAAAACCCGTGCCTCACAGCTGACGGCGTTTACGAGGCTAAAAGCAAAAGGCCAACACGGAGGGAAAGTGGAACCTGGGTTTGCCTTTGACAGCTAAGCCGCGGAGAAAGACGGAGGCGACCACCTTAAACAAAACAGGGCTTTTGTTCCCTTTTGTTTTCACGTTTGCCAGCATCATGGGTTCTCTGCTTCATGCTGTCCGCGGCACTTCACCCTAAATGCACAACTGCAAACCGTCAAGTCGTCCTGCCCATTTCGGCAGGACACGTGGACCGCACACGGAAAGCACACGGCTCCAAAGGATGGTCTGCGCTCACGCCGCGTCAGAACCGCAACACGCGCTGGGGAAAAGGGAGAGCAGCACACGCTTCCTGCAGCGCCTCAAGCAGCTGCCAAACAGGGGCACACGCATACGCACATCTGCACACGCTCAAAAACACATGCACAGGCATGCATGCACACACGTGTACACTGCACACACGTGCACACTGCACACACGTGCACACACGTGGATGGGCACACGCTCGTGCACACATGCAAGAACATGCAAAGGTACGCACACGCACAAAGACACGTGCACGGGTACACATGCGGTACACACATGCACACAGCAAAAACACGCAGATACACATGTATACATACACATACACAACTGACACGCACGCACGCGTGCACACACACACCCAGGTGTCAGGCACCGGCGCCGAGCCCCGCTCCGGCGGAAGAAGATACCTTTCCTCTGCCCGCTGCCTCTCCTCCGCCTCCTTCTCTCTGCGCTTTTGTTCCTCTCGCTGCTGCTCCAGTTCCTGCAGCTTCTGCCTCTCCAGCTGCCGTTTTTTAATGGAGGCATCACTCAGGTGTTTGGTCGAATCAAAAGAGACCTTTGGAAGCAAAAGATGGCGTGAATGGCCTCCCCCAAAGCCCTCGATACGGGGCAGCACCACCCTCGGAGACACGCTCTGCCCTCCCTGCAGGTCGCCCGGAGAACCTGAGCTCCCGCTCACCCCTAGGGGCGCCACACACAGGGGCAGTGGGCCTGGGAGTCACCCCAACCTGCCTGGAGTCACCCAACCCGGGAGTCACCCCAACCCACCTGGAGTCATCCAACCCGGGAGTCACCCCAACCCGCCTGGAGTCACCCAACCGGGGAGTCACCCCAACCCGCGTGGAGTCACCCAACCCGGGAGTCACATCAACCCGCCTGGAGTCACCCAACCCAGGAGTCACACCAACCCGCCTGGGGTCACAGTCAGTCAGGGGCTCAAGACGTGGCTCTGCCCACACAGGCAGGACTCAGAGGGAAGACAAACTACCACCGGGACGTAACTGGCCCTTACTACTGAATAAAAGGAATCAATGACCACTATCGCCACACACGTTCTCCTGCTAACCAGCGGCTGCCCACTCCCTCCGACCACTGCCACGGGGCCTGAGCCCGCAGCGACAGGCTGTGTGCCAGCCGTCTCGTGGCCACCAAAACCCTCCTCCACCATGAGGCCGGCTTCATTACACTGCAAATCCATCTCAAGTGAGGGCCCGTAGCCATGAAGGAATCTGTGAGCCCTAGTGTAAAGGAACATTCCGGCACGTGGCTGAAATATCCCTCTGCAAGCAACTCTGACAGCCAACAAACATCTCACCTACTTCAAAACACTCGGCTCTTCCGCTTCCCTCAAAACACAGAATTTACGAAAGCCGAAAGCACAGGCCACCACCGCTGATGTGGTTCTCACACCCGAAGCCCTACTGAGCGCAGGACCGCGGCTGCGATTTTATCTGCGGGGGGCCGTGGTGGCAGGGCTCCCCTACGGCCCTGGGTCCCGGGACCCACCTTGATGTTGCAGGCCACGGCCTTGCCGTCCTCGCCCTTGTACATGAGCTTCATGCCCCGCAGGGCGCTCATGGCCTGGATGAAGCCCACGTACTCTCGGTACTGGACATAGGCCTCGAAGTTCAGGTGCCCGCCGAAGCTGAAGGTGTGGAAGTTGCGGCCGGTCATCTCCTCCCGGTAGGGGTCCAGCATGGGGATGTCCACGTTGCGGATCTCCCCGAACTTCTCGAACACCTTCACCAGGACCTCCTCGCTGGGCTTCTCGGAGCCCGACTCCTTCAGGGCGAACCACTTGCAGGGCAGCCCCTCCAGGTGGATGGTGTCCGGCCTCTCCCCCGGGAGCGTCTCGTTCATGTCCTTCGCGTCGCGGAAGAAGGAGTCCCAGTCGTGGCGCGTGGGGAAGTCTATCTTGAACTCGGCGGCCCGCACCTTGAGGATGTCGGAGAAGCCGCTGAGCTTGATGGTCTTGCCGTCCAGGCAGGCCAGGAACGACTTCACCAGGCTCTTGTTCTCCACCTCGCCCTCGAAGCGGATGAAGTCCATGGTGCTCTTGGAGATGCGCAGCGTGGAGAACTGGTGGTTGTGCACCATGCCCTTCAGCCGCTCCATCACCTCCCAGTTGGAGATGGACTTGCCCGGCTGCTTCAGCTGCGGCAGGGCCACGCTGATGGTCATCTTGGTGATGGGCTTGAGGTACAAGCCGTACGCGGGGCAGAGCTCCACGGCCTCAGACGTGTCGTGCACGATGGTAGCCGCTGCCATAGCCGGGACCTTGGGCCTGAAACACAGGACACACACGGTCGGGGAGAGGCCCAGGCACGAAGCACCACAAATGTCACTGCGTGCAGTCAGAGGAACTGGCCTGCCTCGTTAAAAGCCATCTCAACTGGATTTAAAATAATAATAGGACTGCACTAAAGGGAAAAAAAATCGGGTTGATAAAAAGCTCTTAAGAACACGTTAGAGTCCAAAGCCCCTTCACCACAGCCCCACACCCAGCACCAGGAGCTATCCCAGGCCCGTGGAAATGGGCGGGTCGGTGCCAACTAAAGACGCCTGGCTGGCTCCCTGGGAGAGCAGGGGCCAGGAGAGCCCAGCCACAGATATCTCTAAAGGTTCGTGGAGGAGGAGCCCTTGTATTTGCATTGATAAAACAGGAAGGAAGTCTCAGGCTAAAAAGACTACCGCAAACCATGGACTTTAATAATCTCCACTACGGGCAGATGCATCCTCTCTCCAACCAACTTAAAGGCAAAAAGCGTAATAAGGGCCTTTTCAAGAAAGAAAAGAAAAAAACTGGGGCCCGGAACTCAGCTCTGTGCCCTCTTCCTTCACCTGCCTTCTTTAACCCAACTCTTTCCTACTGGTCTGACAGGTTGGTACTTCCCTAGGGCCAAGTTCCATGTGGATAAGCTTGACCCACAGAATCCCAACAGGTGGCCCCGCTGAGCCCTGCCACCCACTACCACCACCACCTCCACGACTTGGAGGCCTTCCGCTAGGCCCTGGAGGCGGCCTGAAGCCCTAAGCCCAAGGTGGGAGGGATCAAAGGGGCCAAAAGCTGACCAGGGAACCCTCCCCCACAACCACACAGGGAGCAGGAAGCTGAGCCCAGGAAGCCTCACCACCTGCCGTCATCCAGGCTGACCCCAGCACCCCATAAAACCCTGTCCTGCCCTGCTGCCCCTCCCCCTAGGTAACCCCCCACCCCCATCCGGGTGCTCCCGGCTGCCCCAGCCCCTCCCCCTGGCATCCTCAGCTGCCCCGCACCTCAGGTAACCCCCACCGCCCACCTGGATGCACTTTGCTTCCCCAGCCCCTCCCCCTCCAGGCAGCCCTCAGCCCCTGGTACCCCCATGGCCTGGTCCTGCCTATTCCCCCAATAACCCTGTCCTGGCCAGCTGCCCCACACCCCAGGCAGCCGCCAGCCCCATGGCCTGATCCCACCTCACCTCAGCACCACAGTAACCCTGTCCTGGCCGGATGCCGGGCACCCCAGGTAACCCCCACCCCAACCCTGCACTCGGCTGCCCCAGCCCCTCCCCCCATCCCTAGCTGCCCCATACCCCCCAGCCCCCCCCACCCCCTGGTAATCCCTAGCCCCAGCACCCTGGTAACCCTGTCCTGGCCGGCTGCCCTGTACCCCAGGTAACCCCCACTCCCACCCGGGTGTACTCGGCTGCCCAAGCCCCTTCTCCCCGCATCCCCAGCTGCCCCGCACCCCCCAGGCCCCCACTCCCCATACCCCGATGGCCTAGTCCCACCTAGCCCCAGCACCCCAGTAACCTTGTCCTGGCCGGCTGCCCCGCACCCCAGGTAACCCCCAGACCCCCGGTACCCCCATGGCCTGCCTGGTAACCCCTAGCCCCAGCACCCCGGTAAACCTGTCCTGGCCGGCTCCCCGCACCCCAGGTAACCCCCACCCGGTGCACTCGGCTGCCCCAGACCCTCCCCCCTGGCATCCCCAGCTGCCCCGCACCCCAGGCACCCCGAAGGCCCCCGGTACCTCCATGGCCTGGTACCCCCTAGCCTCAGCACCACAGTAACCCCGTCCTGGCCGGCTCCCCGCACCCCAGTAACCCCCACCCCCACGCGGGTGCACTCGGCTGCCCCGGCCCCTCCCCCCGGCACCCCAGCGGCCCCGCACCCCCAGCCCCCCGGAACCCCCGTGGCCTGGTAACCCCTAGCCCCAGCACCGCCCCACCCCAGCCCACACGCCTGCCGAGCCGCCGCCGCCCGCGCCTCCGGCCGCCACGACCCGGCCGCGGCCGGCGACGGGAGGCGGCGCGCGCAGCCAGGCGGGCGGGCGCGGGGCGGGCTCACCGCGCGGGCTCCGCCTGCGTCCAGGCCCGCGCCGCCGCTGGCCGCGCTCCCGCCGCGCCCCGCCGAGCCGGCAGGCGCGGCCTCCCCGCCGCGCCCCGCCGACCCCCGGAGTCGCCCCTGACGCCGCCCGTCGCCGCCGCCGCCCGCCCCCTGTGACGCATTTCCGCTTCCGGCGCACGGGCCCGCGGAAGCCGCCGCGCGGCGGCTCCGGGTTTCTCCTCCAGGGCCTGGCCCCGCCCCCTGGGAGGCGGGACTTCCGGGGTCTGCACTGCGCGTGCGCGACCTGAGCCCGCCCCTCCCCCACGCTGCTACCTATGCGCAGGTGCCCGGAGGCCCCACCTGGGGCCAGAGGTGCCCCTTCGTCTGCCTCCAGGCGTCCTGGAACAGGAGAGGGCCTGTTGCCAGGGTCTAAATTATCAATATAATGGCAAAATTATAAGTCACAATATAATTCTAAAATGTAATAGATCCTGTACTGTAACAGGATTCTGCAGTATGCTTGTAAATTGCATATTTATAATTTGTAATCGTAAATATGCAGTATACTTACACAATGCAATCACAAATAAATTACATATAATAATAATTGTATGACATAACAGAATTACGTAACGTCACAAGTCACTAGTTATTTATTAATTGTACACTGTTGTCACACAGTATAGCTACAGCTATGAAATATATTAAGCTTCAGCAGTATGCCAGACTCGGTGTGAGGCATGTGCCCACGACGCCCCCAAATATGCCACAGGTGCCCAGACTGGAAACCCAAGGGGCAGAGAATAAGGACAGGCACCTTCCGAGGTCTCTTCCGGTTGTAGTTCCCCAGCGTCAGCGTCACGGGGGCCTGGCCTGGGCGAGGGCCGGCTGGGGTTTCCAGGTCTGTGCCCCTCCAGGACTCATGCCGAAACTGGATTCCCAACGCAGGAGCGTTAAAAGAGGGGGCTTTCGGGAGACGGCTAGGTCAGGGATGGGATGAATGTCCTTGGAAAGGCATACAGGGAGTCTCAATTTCCCATTTTTCCCCTTGGCCCATGGGATGACCCAGCAAAAAGGCGCCTGCTGTGAAGTGAGCCTTGATCTTGGACTTTCCAGGCTCAGGAACTGTAAGGAATAAATTTCTTTCTTTTTTTTTTTTTTTTGAGACAGACTCTCACTTTGTTGCCCAGGCTAAAGTGAGTGCCGTGGCGTCAGCCTAGCTCACAGCAACCTCAGACTCCTGGGCTCAAGGGATCCTCCTGCCTCAGCCTCCCGAGTAGCTGGGACTACAGGCATGCGCCACCATGCCCGGCTCATTTTTTTCTATATATATTACCTGGCCAATGAATTTCTGTCTATTTATAGTAGAGACGGGGTCTCGCTCTTGCTCAGGCTGGTTTCAAACTCCTGACCTCAAGCAATCCTCCCGCCTCGGCCTCCCAGAGCGCTAGGATGACAGGCGTGAGCCACCGCGCCCGGCCATAAATTTCTTTAATTTATAAATGGCACGGTCCGGGGTATTTTGTTATAGCAGCATGAATGGACTAAGACATGCACCCTGATGTTAAGTGGATTTGTGAACAGAAAGGGGTTCCCGTGGGTATTTTCTGGGTGTTTGCTATGCGGGAGTTTTGTTGTCCCTGAGAGAGAAATAGAATCAGGAATCTCTACCTGACAACAGAAGAAAAAGAGACACCAGGCCGCTGCCCCAGGAAGCAGAGCTGTTGTTTGAACCCAGGCAGGCTTCTCAGTGGGACATATATCTCTGCCGTGTCTTCACGCACCTTCTCATTTTTCTTAGAGGTGTTTGAGGTTCTCTTCAAAATCGTTTCCCCAAATGCCGCTTTGCATGTCCTGGGTGTGTAACGTGTTTCCCTGGGGAAGCTGTTAAATTTGGAAACTACTTTTCCACTCGGCTCCCTGAAGTATTTGCAAAGCAAATTAAGAAACGAGAAGTTCACTCCTTTGGAGAGCCAGCAAGCTCCCAGAGACATGATTAAAATAATCGGGGAAATGATCAAAGAACATCCTTTAGGCCAGGCACCGTGGCTCACACCTGTCGTCCTAGCCTCTGGGAGGCCGAGGCGGGAGGATCACTCGAGGTCAGGAGTTTGAAACCAGCCTGAGCAAGAGCGAGATCCCCGTCTCTACTAAAAACTAGAAAGAAATTAGCTGGACAACTAAAAATATATTTTTAAAAAATCAGCCAGGCATGGTGGTGCATGCCTGTAGTCCCAGTTACTTGGGAGGCTGAGGCAGCAGGATTGCTTGAGCCCAGGAGTTTGAGGTTGCTGTGAGCGAGGCTGACACCACGGCACTCTGGCCTCGGCAACAGAGTGAGACTCTGTCTAAAAAAAAAAAAAAACCCAAAATCAAGGTGTCAGCAGAGCCAGCTCCTTTTGGAGGCTCTGGAAAAGATGTGGTCCACACGTCTCTGTTAGCAATCCTTGCCTTGCCCATGCTCCGCCCCACCTCTGCCTCCGTCTGCTCTGGGGTCACCAGGCTGGGGTTCTCTGGGGTCACCAGGCTGCACTCGAGTGTTTGCTGGGGCCGCTATCTCGTCTGAAGCTTGGGGATGTCTTCGAAGCTTCCTCAGTTGTTGCAAGAAGAATTCAGTCCCTTGTGGCTGCAGAATTCCATCCAGCGGCTGTCTGTCCTCCTTCCGTGTGTCAGCGTGTTTCCCTGGCACCTGTTGTTTGTGTGCGTCTCGGGGTCCCTTCTCCTGTTCTGGTGAGGATGCCTAGCACATCGGATTGGGGGCACAGCCCAACTCCGGGACGACCTCGTCTTTTGCAATTGGCAGCCTCAGGCAGTGTGGCCGGAAGGTCGGGCAGAGCAGAGCGGTGGCACAAGATGGGACTTGCATGGCTTGAACTAAAATAAAATTTCAAGGCTCACACCCCCCATGCACTAACCGAACGGACCCCCTCGTGGCCAAAGGAATATCCTAAAACTAAAGCAGTCACCTGTGAAGAGGAGGAGGGAGGTCAGACCTTCCTCATCATGCCCCGCTCCCTTCTTGGGGACATCTTTTGTAACCCATTGGCAGGCCTAAGTTCATGCAAGACACTCCTGCAGGTCCTCAGTTTACACAAAAAATCTATGCCCAGTGGTGGCTTATCTCTGATTAGCAGCTTCTTAGCCTAAAACATTCCAAGCTTCTAGAAAAACCTTCATGTCTTCAACCGATTACAATCCAAAGAATCTTTAAACCCACCTATATACCCTGTAAGCCCCCACTTCGAGATGTCTCACCTTTTTGGGCCAAACCAATGTCCACCTCCCACGTATCGATTGATGACTTTACCTGTGACCCCTGTCTCTCCCTGAAATGCATGAAACCAAACTGCAACCCAGCCACGGCCAGTCCACCTGCTCAAGGCTTCCTGGGCGTGGCCTTCAAATTTGGCTCAGAAGAAACCTCTCGAAATTATTTTACAGAGTTTCGTGTTTTTTTTTTGTTCCATTTCCGAGTTAACGGTGGGGATCTCTGCTCTGTTGTTTAGCGGGAAGCAACCCCAGGCCCCTGGACCTCTGTTTGCTCTTCCGGGAAACGGAGCAAGAGCATGTGCATCGTCCTCCTTGAACTGCAAGACTCTGAGGCCCTGTGAGCACTTGTCACAGGGGAAGGCACGGAGCACAGGCAGGGGGCACTGCTGGGATGCAGGCAAGACCAACGCAGTTGGGATAGGGCCGGTGTCCGGAGTCCGTCTGCCCCTGGAGGTGCAGGCTCCTGAGACTGCAGGGCAGACAGCTGCCCCAGCCTGGGCACGAAGTTGACCTCCCCCTGTGGGCTGCTCTGGAAGGCTCCTGTCTCATAGAAGTATGCATGCATGCGGCACAAGGTCTCCACCGACCAACGGCCGCG